ATCAATCGCACCTCAGCAAGTGTTATAGGAGGGTCGTTATTCTTTAATTTCGTAGCTGCTTTTTCATATTCGGGAGCTAACCTCTTGCAGTGCCCACACCTGAACAATTATAAAAAAAACTGTTTAGATTCTGCCACAATTATCATTACTACAGTTTACGAGAATAAAAATGAATATTTTTTAGGAAAGTCAAGTGTTGGACAATAAAGAAACTGTATGCTGACCATGGTGCATAGAACTTTACCAAAAGTACTTCATACTGCTTCGATTCGGTCTCAAAATCGCTATCTTTTAACGGTATCACGTCACTGCCATAAGCTAGAACTACTATCACACTCACAAGCGCTAGCTTGAATATGTTCCTTACCCCCGTCATTCCCTGAAACAGTGAGCTATAAAATTTCAGAGCAAAAATGGCACAAATAGTTCAAAACACGCTGTAAACGATGACCAACTTATTAAAAAAGCTCCCACTCGTCGCCACTTATAATATCAACCCCACCACTTACTAACGAAGACGACTACACAGTGCAAAGTGCCAGCCATATATACACCCTTTCATAACGCAAGTAATGAGACGAAATCAACACAACGTGGCATCGGAAGATGAAAGGAGACACGCTACACCGCTGTGCAAGCAAAATTTTCAATACCAAACGTTACGATGTATCGCTGTCAGAAAAATAAAAAAGAATCAATTTTTGCAAACGTTTCTAAAAGGATTAGTACCATTATACGCAGCAAGCAAAATTATTAAAAAAAACTGATTCATGCACTACCAAAAGCCATGTAAATATCCGTGTAAAACAGCAAAAAAGCGAAATTTAAATAATACGACTTACTGTAAACGCAAGTAACAAACGAACAAAAAAAAATCAAAAAAAAAAAAAATTCAACTCAGTGGAAAAAAACGAGCATTCTCAATAATCCCAAAAACAGCCTTTTGGACTCAATTACGTGTAACTTACTTTGATAAAACCAGTTTTTGCTCAGCCTCAACCGGCTGCCACTCATCTTTCACAACAGATCTGTAGCAGTCGTGTAGTTTTTAACCTTCATTTCAACTACCGAAAGTGGTAATTTTGACCCTTCTCCAGTTCCACTCATCCACTAATCGAGATCACTTTTTGGTGAAGTAAAACTCTACTTCTCAGCAAATCAGGAATATCACTCAACAGTCAAAAACCCAAAATATGAAACTAAACTGCTAATACAAAGGCTTAAATTCCTCTCCAAAAAAAAAAAAAAAAAA